AAATGCCAGCAGAAGAATCATACCAAATTTTGTAGTGAAAGACACTGTCAGGCTCTGATTAATATGCTGAATATGCTGTAATCTATAGTACCTGTTCATTCTACTTCTGTAGTTTTCTGAGATTCTATAGTTGCAGTTTCTGAGCTTTCCCTGGTTAAAGTCATGTGTTAAAAAAGAAAGGAAAAGTATTGAATGTATCATGACTTATCACAATTTTACCATATAAAACTTTATGAAGATGATTCATTCTCCCAGAAAGTAAGAGAATGCTGTTTTAATTTTTTGTCTCAGCCCTGAGTTCACCAACTGTATATTTCTAAGTAGTTCGCACTGTTTCTGTTTTCAGATAAAAAATGTGATCATCTGATCCTTTCAAGATAAGCTACCAGTAATTTTAAACACTGTGGTTAGTCTCTCTTTACTTATTGAAATAGTATCTCACAGGATTTTACTGTATCGAATGCAGCTCCTTGAGCTGTGAAATACTTCCTGAGAACTTTTCAAATTCCATAGATATTTTAGTCCTAACAACATGCATATGTGGTATGTTATGTCATGATAATACAACATTTTGTTGTAAATGGACCCATTTGCTCCATTTGCATTTTGTGTTCCTGCAGCTCTCTGAACTCTGAAGTTACTTCGTCTGCCAATACAACCAAGTCTTTCTTTACTTTTTGACTCCTGACTGCGTTTAAGTCACATCCTTTAAGCTACAAATCTGAGGGTTGTCTTGATCTCTAAACATTAACTATTCCCAGAAAGGTTTAGGGTATTTTTTTGATTATTTTAATGAAAATTTTGCAGCTTAAAATGAACAAGATTGGAGTCATTGACATTCCTTACCCTGCCTCCAAACATGTCCAGTAAGAAATAGAGGTCTTCTTCCCATTTGAAGTTCCAGAGCAGATGGAACTTGGCTATTCTGAGTCAGGGTCACAAGGTTGCATATTTCCCTCCATACAGCCTTGTAACACTTGGTAAGCATTAGTCATATACCAGGCTTCCTCATGTTGCCCTTATCAGTGTGGCTGAAAGGAAAAGTAGCTTTTTTGGTAAACTGGGGAGGCTGAGCAGAGATTTGAAATTGGCATAAAGTCAGCATCAGTCTCCTGAGGCCATTAGTGCAGCTTGGCTTCTGCCAACTAGTCTAGCAAATTGTTCATGAACTTTTTGTTCAGTGTTTACTCTTGAACTTTGTTCTGCATATGGCAGGGCAGACTATTAACAGCTGAAGAAATGGACCAACCAGTGAAAACTTTTTGTAATTAGCTGAGCGTGACTGTGCTGTTCAGTGTTGACTTTGCAACTTGGCAATGCTATCCACTGCTCACATTTGAGGAGGTGTATTGGGCATCCATTTAACAGTATATTAGTTTATAAGATTACATGTGAATGCACGTTTGTAGCTGTCAGGAGCAGAAGCTAAAATATTTTCAGTGAACTCCACTGCCAAGTAAACAGAAACTGTAACTAAGCAACTCAGAAACACCACTTCAGTTATTCGTGACTCGGAAATACAATTTACTCAATGTCGTCCTCCCCCTCAGCCCCCAACTAAAAGGTCTATATTTATTTGGAAGATGTATTTTACTAATCCGCAACGTGTTATATATCAAAATTTAAAAAGCCAATATGAAACTGAAACATCCTCACCAAAAGAATCAGTGGAACCTTTGATAAAGCTGAGTCCAGGCACAACATTTCCAAAAACTTCAAATAGTTCCACATGATTATACAGAGCACAAGATATGGAATGAATTCAAGAAATACTTTTCAATTACATTTTTTCTTTATAAAACTGAAAATGGCTTCTTACTTAGATGTTTAGAAGTATGCCTTCACAGGCAATGGGAGTGCTACTGTCCCAGTAATACAGACTTATATATCTGTGTTTAACACAGTAACCCATCACTTGAACCAGTCAAAAAACCTTCTTCCCAATGATATAGTAGCATTGGCAACATGAAGTTCTGTGTACATGTACTGTGACTTCAAGGCAGTGTGTTATGCAAAGTGTTTTTCCTGCTGTTCCTCCATCCCTGCTAATCCTATTCCTCCTCATCTTTCTCTGGGTCTCACTGGATGAAGGAAGGTAGCAGAACTACTGTTCAACTCTGTCCTGAGCTAGAAATTCTTATAGAGTTCAGTTTTATACAGGAAGCAACTTTTCTCAAAGGCAGGATGATATCTGTCCTGGTTTATACCCTTGAGCTGTATAGGTATTTATTGAAAGTCAGAAAGTTTCTACACCTTTCAAGTATAAAGAGATCTGAACAGTCAATAATACACATTCCTTGAGAATGCCATGCTAATTATCCCATGAGTAATTTCCCATGAAATTATACATTTCTACAGTCTGAACCAGTATTTCATCTTCTGTCTTTAGACAAGTACGCAAAAAAAGTGGTGAAAAATACTTTTCAAGCTACTAGTCACCAGTGGCTTTAAAGAAGTATCATAAGATCACAACTCCACTGGAAAAAAATGGGGGCTGCACCTGAAACTTACTTCTGAGTCCAGAATTTTAAGCAGAAATTAAGTTTCCAACTTTGTGACTAGCTGCCTTGCAAGATGTGCAAAGTCCAAGTTAGAAAACTTCATAATGCCAATATTATGGGAGTTCTGCAGGGTTGTACCTGTTAGGTGTTTTTTGTAATAGCACTTTGAATCTAAAAGACCAAGAGGTCATTAAAACCACAAAAGAAGTCTGTTTTGCTTTTCACTGATGTCACATCAATTAGCTCTAGTGTGGAAAAATTTAATATTCACATATGAAAATGTGCAATATGCAGTTATTACTTAATTGTTGAGGGGCTTTGGTAGACATCTTTAATCCTTTTAAAATAGAAACCAATGAAATTTTCAATTAAAAAATCAATATGCCTGCACACATGGCTATATTACACCATCTTATTAAAATATGCTGAGCACTTTGAAAGCAAAGACAATATTTCAGCCTTCATCGCCTTAATATGTATGATGAATACTGTATCTCTTTTCTCAAATTGTCAAGGTACAGAATGAAAGCTACATTCAGAAAATGTTCAAGTAAATTCTTCATTTGCAGCTATAATTACTTCTTGGAAGAGTTAGGGAGTTTGAATTTTTATAACAATTCTTATCAGTTTCAGATTTAAAAAAAAACTATTTTTTTTTAAAATAAATTGAAAATATCTATTTTGGCCATCTAAAGAATTTGGTTTATGTTTTCATATTTTGACACAAACATTAAAAAGGCACCATCTTGAGTTTCACTAAAAAGGAATAAAATTTTATTTTTAAAAAAATCCCATTTGAACCAATGTTGTAAACTGTTCTTTAAGAGTCTGAACAACAGAATGAGACACCTGAGCTATTTGGGGTCCTGTGAGCAATCTCACAACATTAGTGCTGACCTACATGTATTTTGATTAGCTCACTGAGATCCCCAGTAGTATCCAGCTATTCTGTTCTCTTTTGGAGAATGCATGTTCCTCAGGCATAGTAATTAATCTTACACAGGTCCTGCCCTTGTTATGTATTAATCACATTTGTATGGGCTACACGCATCACATCGTTGAAAGATTTCCCACTTGCAGGGTTTTTTTTTATATTTGGGAGAGGACAACTCTTATCTATGCTCTTTTTATCCTTGACATTGTACATCTGTAAGACAGGTACCTAACATGATGGTTTCTGAAGAGTTAAGATCTACCTTTATGAGCTAACACCCCCAAATTTTATAGCTATAGGCAAAAGGAGCTTCAACAAAAGCAAACTAAATAGGCTGCTTCTTGGCTGAGCTTGGTAAGAGACTTGATGACAAGACAAGGAGCTCTCAGAATTGTAAACAGCACAAATGAGAAATAAAAGAATTATAAGCCTAGTGTTCTCCTCAGGCTGTCATCCTCCTCCTTGGTTGCAGTCCAGCAGCTTTTTGGAGGCTGTTTTCAGGCCAATAAAGGCTCTCTTTCTCCCACCTCAACCAAGAGCAACATTTAGCTTAGATACAATCCCATGAGCCAAAATGTGCTTTATGCCTACAACCTGTACCTGTGTCATTCAACAGACTTGAGAAAAGTAGGTATCACTTCTACTAGGCTTGAATGCAGAAGAAACGTGAGATCTGGCAGATTTCCTGATAGAGCTTGACCCCATATTGAAAGAGAGCAAGGGAAATGTAGGAAAATATTTTTTCAGCTTTTGTTGTCTATCAGGCCAAACAATAATGAGTTTCAGAAGTTCCTGCTTCTTTTCAAAATCTAACTTTTAAAGCCAAATGCCTTCTAGGTGTTAAGCCCTGAGCAGATTTTTTTTTTTCCAATCTGGAGCTCTTACTATGTGGGATCTGAAAACATTTACAGCTTGTATATACCTGGCAAGTATAGACCGCAAAATTTCACATGATCTGAAATCGCTATCCTCCAGCTTTGAGATCTGTTTGGACAACCTAATGCTACTTTTTGACTCTGGTCTCTCACTGCTGAGTTGCATGAGGATGCAGTTACAATGCACACACTGAGATCACATCCAATACCCCAGTAATGACAGCTGTTTACCATACAAATCTGAAAGATTCCAAATCTGAATGGACAAAAGCAGCTCTTCATAGGACTTATGGTGTGTTCTTGAAGGATCCTTTAAAATAAACGGCCAATAGAGTACGATTTTTGTTCTCAGAGGAAATGACAAAATAAAAATGCCTTAATGGACTACTTGCATATTTGAGTGCCTTTATACTTCCTTGCAAGTATATGATGGGAGGCCTCCCTGAGTTACAGCACCAGAACAAAGCCCAGTACATTTATGACAGCCCCCCAAAAGCTGTTGAGAATGTGCTTGATCCTGGTCTAGCCATAAAGAATATATTTCACAGAAGTGTCGTGAGTTTCCTTCATTCAGAGTATTTCCCATGTCCCTGGCCCTATAGCCTGGCCCCTTGTTATCCTAGATTTCAAATACTTTTGTTATGGACTTCCATAACAAACCTGTCACTTTGCCCATTTTCTCTCTTTCAGGCTGTTGTGGCACAGATGAACTCTGTGAGCATGGATGAACTCTTACATCCTCTAGGACTTTGTGACCTTGCAACGATGGGTAAGTGTCTGACACTGCCCCTGCCCATCCATTTATCTTCTGGCACAACTCTAAAATCCTGTGCATTAGAATATTTTGCTTATCAGAACAAAATTCAGCCCTCTGTGCACTTACATTTTTGAAAGATGCTGTTGAACAGTTTTAGGGATTTTCTCATGCATTACTGTTTTTTGAAATACCGTTAGAGAAGGAGAATATTGGTTGTGTGTGTCATACAGCTTCGGAAATCTTTTGTTTTTCATCTCAATCCACTGGCCAAAAAGAAATGAGTCACTTTGTTAGAAGTATCCTGTCTCCTATTGCTTTGTTTAGGTTTGCACCTACTTCTTCCTGAACAGAAATAAAAAGATTACTCACAGAAACATGCCGGTACACAGATGATACAATGAGAAATTAAAACACTGTTCTCAGCTTGCTCTGTTTTACTACCTAAAGAGCTGTGTGCTAGGACTGGTTCTTGTAAAGGCTCTTCCCTTGCTCAGAAAGTGGTCAGCCCCGGGAAGGGAGAAGAGGGTTCTGAGCAGCATAGGTCTTCCTAAATAGAGCTGAGAGCATTTAAAATGCTCTTTCTAAAGAGTGAGTTCAGTTTGGGAACACAAAGTTTAGTAATTGATATCAGATAAAAAACTGATAAGAGACAGTATCTATAGAAGGACTCTTTAAGTCTTGTGTCCTTTCCTTATGTACTCAGCTGTTTAGGGTAAGAGAATAATATTATTTGAAGTGTGTTTCTGTATTGTTTTCCAGAAGAAAATTAGAACTGCAACAAGGCCTCTTAATTTCTTTTGGGCAGGGCATCAAGATGAAAAGAAAAAGGTTCCAGGAGCTTAGTGCCAACACCATGCTTTCATAAGTATAAATCAAAATTATGACAGCTACTCCATAATAAGCACCTTTACGTGCTTATGTTCATTAAATAAATATATGAACCAGACACTGTTGAGAAAGGGCAATCCTTGATACACAGTTGATCATTGCTATAAGTAGTATAGTACACGACAGAATTTAATTTATTTGGGGTTTGAAAGTAACCCGAAAAATTAGAAAGTGCTTCCTTTTTTATTACATTTCTCAGATTAACCAAACAGTGAAGTACTTAGAAGGCTGTGGTCAGCAGAATGACAGTCAGTGACTCATTATAGAGATGGGTGTTTTGTATATGAAATTGCTACTTCTTATAACACTTCTAAAATCTATGCTGAAGCTTTTAGTCAATGCTATTTCATGCTCTGAAGCAGCACTATTCTCTCCCACACTCTCTCAGGATTGCCTTGCCACCACTGTCTTGAAGTGCTCTCCTCCTACAGAGTATCTGGTCAGCGATAGCAGCAGCTGCAGGAACAGTGCGTTCAGCATGCCAGACTGAAATTCATGTTCCAGGAATGTCTCCTGGGGGTTTTGAGCAATTCAGTCAGATTCGTAGTTAAAAGCCTTTCACTGTAACACAATTACCCTGCAGTAGAGAAGAGGAATGGTTGGCATTTGTTTGCTACAAATGTGCCTTGCAAAACCCACTGTTACGAAATCCTTCCTCGTGTGAAATTTCCACTGGCAATGGAATTTACCTATTCTAGAATGATAGGCTACTGTGCTAGGAATGCAAGGAAAAAAACAGAGTGATCAACAACATTTTATGTGGGTTTTAACATCCACTTTCTTATATTAGGGTTTTTTTCTGTCTGAAAAGTAGTACCTACAGCTGTACAGCAGGACACCAACAGTTCCAGAAAGCTGTGGTTTAGTGGCTGTTTAAAAAAGCATAAATTTCATTTTTTTCTGATTCTGCCTGGTTCTCACCATCATACAAAACACAGAAGATCCTTGCAAAGAATATATCATCTCCTTAGACAGGTGGGGCACTCTTACTGGCCAATTTACAGATTTAACTGGCATGTAGCCATCCAATTTGCAATTTCCATCACATATTCTGCAATTCTGGCTTAGTCTGAGTCATGGCCTGAAACACGAGAGGAAACCACCACTGTCTGGCCAAACAGTTTCATCTTGCAATAGGAATACTGTGTATTCCTCTGCCTTGTGATTCTCACAATTGAGTCCTGGTCTTCCAGCCCACTGGGGAATAAAAGCAAGGGTATCCAAACTTAGCCCTCTTTAGACCACCTTCCTGCCTCCTGGTAAGTGAAATTGAAGGCAAGTGGGGCAGAGAACTGAAGTACTCATATGCTGGTGAGAGTTGTGTGATACAGGGTAAGAAGGAAAGAGTGAGAGATGAATGGGATGCTTTACAGATTATTTATGATAGAGACAAAGATTGTGACGGTAATTAAAGCTTAGAGGGGGCTTAGGGAGGAGATAGGGCCAGACCATAGGTGGAGGTAGTTAAGCCACTTGTTTACTACTCAGCTGAGATCTAAGCAGGGGGAAGAGAGAGGAGAAAGGAAAATAAAAGAGGTGAGTCATGGTACAAGTGAAAAACTGGAGGGAAGAAACTGTGACACATAATACAGGGAATAAGAGAAAGCTGTCTGGAGATTGGTTCTCAAGAGGCCCAGGGTACAGAAAGCAGTTTCTCATCTCAGGATACCACAGAAAACTAATATTTTAACGCTTGGTGCATGTGTTCATCAGCCAGCCATATGACAGTGAAACTAGGCTTATGCACAGGTCATCTGGTTGATTCTACCAGAATAGACATAGAGGAGAGAGCTTGACCAGTCAAATCTGCACAACCTCCTTTGCGTTTGCAGGTATTTGGTTCTCACCTTTGGCCTGACGTGACTTCCCCCATCTTGTAATTTGAGCAGTGTGAAGTACAGAACTCATTAACTCAGGTGAAGCATTGTATACTCCATATTACTTGAAGAAGCAGCATCACAGGAGCATTATTTTCCTCCTTTCCACACTTACTTTTTTTGGAGTCCAGAACTGATATGCTTTCAAAAGTACATTTTGTAAGGATTATACAGACAAGGTGATCAGTGCACAGAAAAGAGAAAATTCATAGACTTGTCAGACAAATCTGTAACCTGGGCATAGGACAAAAAGATATGATAGCAAGGTTGCTGGTCTGGATGAGGGGAGAAGACGGAGCATCTAAAATAAAAGGAAAAGAGACTCAATTTTCGTAATATTAAATCTAAGCTGGTCCAGGTGAAAGTCACAGACACCATGCTCTTTTCTTCCAAGCTGATACAGAATAGTATTTGCATGGGTCAAGTTCAAATAGGCTATTGAAACAAATGTCTTGTAGATAAACTAAATAAGAGAGGCTTCAATTAACTGTGCAAACATGTGTAATCACTCTACATGAGACTGCAATGATTTGAAATGAACTGGAAAGAGGTGATTTTGGGTAATATCCATCTACTTTTATATAAAGTAGAAAGAAGAGAAACACGAGAAATAGCAAAAAATAATAAGAAAACATGAAATGTAACCCAAAATAGCTCTAGGAAAATGATTATTAGAAAAACTTCCAAACATTTTGTGCTGAAACCTGGTGATGGCACAGGAAAAGAATTTGTTGTTATTTAGATCCTCCTATAAGCACAAAATAAGATCTTCAAACATTCTTCAATGCAGCTCTGTACAGGGAGCTCTTATCATGAGCTTCTTTTCCAACAGAAGCAGTTTGTGTGATCTCAAAATGTGGGCAGCTACTTGGGCCAAGAAGAGATAACAATAATGAATACCTTTTGTATCCTTCAAAATGAGTCATGTTGTTCAAAAGGTAAGAGGGATTTACTCACAATGGACAGGCAGTGATGATTCAGCAATTACAATTTTAGCAGACTGTCAAACAAACTTCACTGAACTATAAGAATGCATCTGTACTGATCTCATGGAAATGTACAAAGGGAGTTGTTTTTACATGACTAGAAGTGAACACATTACTCAGAACGAGAAGTATAAAAGAGAGACTGATGGGCAGCCAAGTCTCCCAGCAGAAAAGCCAAATAGATTTCTAAGCCCTCTTGAAGCTGTCTTTGCGTTCCTTCCTCGGAGAACATTTTTATCAGCAGTTATCCAGATTTCTTTTAAAGTAATGCACTCCCATCATATAGATCCAGATCACTACTACTAAATGCCAAAACCACAGATACTCCATTCTGTGCTTGCAGAAATACTTGAAAATGCATTGTGTTAAAAGTGTTTGACATTGCAAAGTACCATATGATTAGTTCATCACAAGTGAGTTTTGATCTATCAGAAAGTTTGCACATAAAGATTATTAGGAAATTCTTGAAAAGAAATAACATCTTCCTTTGTAACACCTAGTGAAGGCTAGCCTTTATACGTATATATATACGTATACACATAAATACACACACACAGACATATATATACACACATACATACATAGATACATAGATATATATAGATAATATGGGTAAATCCCTGCTACGACAATCTTCTCCAAACAAGTCTCTTTCTGCAGTCCACTTGATTTCAAAAGGCCCACATAGATACTAAAGTCTATGTATACAGTACAGAAATTTAGCAGTCTCTATGTGGATACACACAACTTTTTCCATCAACTTGAGGAAGAGCTGTAAGACTCAACTGCCTGTGAGGCAGTTCTCTTTGAGTCTGAATCAACTTTTGAGCCACATCCATCGCATTTTATTCATATGGAAATGATACAATTAAATCTGTTGACAAGGCTTATGGTACTTAAATTTTGTATAACCATCACTTTATAATTTGAAAATCAGTAACAGTTTGATTTTTTTTTAAACAAAGAAATACTTTTTCTTCTGAAATACAGGTCAAGGAAAACTCTAAGGGGCATATGATATAAAAACATTCTGAAAAACAGTTCCAACATGGATGGCACCCTATACTAATGACACTTAGTCAAAATTTCTTAGCGCTATCCAACTGAGGGGTTAGAGTTCAAAGACTTTAAAATTCAGATTTATTTCTGACTCAACAAAATATGTAGTGTTGAATTCCTGCTTAAAGTAAAAGGCACTGAGCCGATTCCACCAAAACAAATGGAAAATGAAGACCAAGCAGGGTAGCATAAGATAGACCAG